CTGTTCATGTTCCCCAGAACTCATCAGAGCTCCTGCACCAGACACTGGGACACCACATGCCAAACACCATACACATGCCAAACACCATACACGGGTCAAACGCCATACACAGGCCAAACACGATACACATGCCAAACACCATACACAGACCAAACACCATACACAGGCCAAACACCATACACAGGCCAAACACCATACACAGGCCAAACACCATACACAGACCAGCACAGCGTCTTACCGTTGCCTGTCAGCCCAGGGACCCCAAGTGACGGTGGTCGTCTCAGTTATCCGGCTTCTTCTGGAGCCCGTTAGTTCTGCACCGAACTCGACGTCCAAGTGCCACTGAGGATTACTGTACTGCACGCCATTACCAATTGTACCTAATGGCCATACACCTGCGATGTACAGCACACAACACAGCAACACGTCAAATAAAAGATATTAAATCATCAACCGGGATATTCCAAATGCAGCCAACAAACTTGATTGGCTGCATTTCAAATATCCCAGCTGATGGTTTTTGCCTGACCGTGTTTGTGTAAGTACCGAGTATGATGATGATGCATTCTATGATTTCCAATTGTAGATTACATGACCTTCCTACAGGCTACAGGTGCTGGCATGCTGCTGCTGAACACGTGTAGTGGTTTCTAAGTTCTTGGTTGGCTACCAATAGTTCCCATAATGCCACAGAACTGTGAACACTGGCATCGACAAAATCTGAGTGTGGTTTTTCCACAGGCAAAGCAGGAGAACAGAGTGCATCCACGCCTTACCCGCATCGTCCTGAAGGTATTTGAACGTGACAACTCCGCTCTTGATCACAACGAATCCATCGTTTCCGAACCGAGGTGCCCTGCACACAAAGAAAGATAAAATCAAACGGTGAGAGATGATCTCGTTGCTCCATCCGTCACAGTATAGCCTGTCTTAACTCTGAGTGATGACTGCAAGCACGGACCGGGGGATGTGCTTGAAAGACACAGCAGGGCATAGATTAACGGCCGGACATCGGACATTTTCCGGCCATTTTCGGCCACTGACTGGATGTTTTCTCACCGGACATAGTGTCCGGTCAAAAAGTTAAAAAAGAGCAGCGACCTTTCGAACTTTTTATGCAGAGTTGGGCTTTCTTCGGACCTTCGTGCCAAATGCGACTTGCATATCGTACAACTAACACGTACACCGTAGTCTCAGGCGTAGACTTCACTATATTTACTTGATCCGCTACCGCCTGTAGCAACGCGTTGTTGCTACAGTCAATTCACACTTTCGACCGTTGGTGTCGACTTCGCACTTGAATCGATGGGTTGGACTGCTAGTGCAGTTGTTCACTCTTGAGAGGAATATGTCATCTTTTATTTTTCACTCTTTCACTGTACTACTAAAAAAAAGAGAGAAGAAACACCCTGAAAATGTGTTGTGGAAAATGTCCGGGCATGTCCGGACAGATTTCAAAACGGAAGGACATTTGTCCGAGCTAAATGAAATCCTTAAGCTACGCCCTGCACAGTGGTCAGTCCTGACCCAAAGCACTGCTTTGGAGCATGGAAAGACCGTAATGATTATAGTGTATTCCAAACCCATACTTCGGAGCATGGAAAGACCGTTAATAGTAATGCATTCTATGACTTCCTATTGTAGATTACATGACCTTCCTACAGGCTACAGATGCCGGCATGCTGCTGCTGCGGGACCTTTGTTAGTGGTTTCTAAGTTCTTGGTTGGCTACCAATAGTTCCCATAATGGCCTCTATATAGACCGGTCTCGTGTGCGGTATGCCGATCTCGTGGCTAAATCCAAGCTAGACTTGCACGCAGGTGCAAGTGCAAGTGCAAGTGCATGTACTCACTCTTCCATGTCACCTTCGTAGCCTGGCGATGGCAGTAGCATGACCGTCACGCCCTGAGAGCGGCATTGCGCAATGTAACTTGCCTTGTCCAGCTCACACTCGGGCTAGACAAACACACACATACATGCATACATGCACAATGAGCACGTGACCGCTTACTCAACCGTGTTCGATTGGGAATAAGGACTGAATGCTGCATCGCAGCCTTTTCGGACCAAGACCAGTCGACTTACGTCCAAAAGACTACAACATATGGGCCAATCGCGGTCATCCATGCTTTAATAAGAACGAAATGGCGCTTTTAGTGACATTTTGCATACAAATCCCCATCTAGTAGGGCGCAGTCACCCAGTTTCAGTGGAAGTGGCAAGTTCGAATGGGAATAAAGGAGGAAGGGAGACGGTCTCAGCTTCATCAGACCAAGGCCATTCGACTTAGCACCCCGAAGACTACAATTGGTAAACATTTGATTTTAGGGTATACATCCCCTTTAAACCATTCATGCTAGGTTGTGGTGCTGAGGAACTATCCATGTTACCATTCAACATGAAATGTTTACTAGAAATACCTTGAAACAAAATATCAAACTACATGCCCCCCCCCCCCCCCAAAAAAGAAAACAAAGGAGCAAAACCAATTCGATGTGAAAACAATAGATAACCTCCGGGAAACCCAAAGCTACAGTGTTTGATGATCTAGCATGGCGCTGTGACATGCCAACACACCTTTTCCAGGGTAAGGAGGCCGATGATAGTTTCAGCTCGGTAAGACAGTGATGTCGGCAAGTGGTTGTTACCAATGTCGAGTTGAGCCTGAAGCAAACAAGGTGACCAGTGAGAGGGTGTAGCGGGGGGGGGGGGGGGAGAGAGAGAGAGAGAGAGAGAGAGAGAGAGAGAGAGAGAGAGAGAGAGAGAGAGAGAGAGAGAGAGAGAGAGAGAGAGAGAGAGAGAGAGAGAGAGAGAGACAGTGAGTGAGAGAGAGGGAGAGAAGGTACTGAAAAGCAATAAAGAGCATCATTGAACCAGAGTCAACTACTAGCAGTGCAAAGAAAGGCCGATGTGTTGGTAGGGTGGGAAAAAAGTATTGATCCCCCCCCCCCCCCCCCCCCCCAGGAAAAAGAATGTCAAGTGCACACAAGGAGTGATTTGGGTTGCGCACTGGTCACGGTCATGCCCAATGCGGCGCAGCACCGCATGCCGCAGTACTTGACAGTACGTACGGTGACAATATGGATATGAACAGCCGGTAGCCATTCTCGCCACCATGCATCCAATGGTGATTCGCTACAAGAAGACAAACAAGACAAAATGGCAGAACAGGCATGTGAAGCGGAGTCGGAAACCTGCAAAAGGTGTTCACTATTATTGTAGTGGAGCATTCTGTGGTTAATAAGGACAGAACGAGACAAGCGTAGCGTTTTCATCAACTTTTCAAAATCACGTTGCAACTGGAAAATAGTGCTAACATGGCCTACATAATTGCAGCACATGGATTGTCAACTGGTACTTCGGTAGTCAAACCACATGTAACTGTGAATGGCGCCAGGCCAGTATCCACATCACTGTTCATGCACTATGCTAGCATGCTTCACTGCGGTGACTCAATGTCTCCAGATGCAATCTTGCCAACACGTCGCTTACCCAGTATTGCTCTGGTTTCCCTCTGCTTGTACTTGCACATCTGCACCAGAAGAGAGCCAAACAAAGCATGCCCGAGTATCATGACTACGAACGTGAACACAGTCTACGACGGCCATCACCCCCACTGGGAACAGCAACTAACGTTACACTGGACTGTGCAAGGTGAAAATTAGGTCGGCTTTAAAAGACTCCCTTCGAAGTCGAGATGTGGGAACGCTCGATTTCAGCCGTCGAAAAGACAGAAACAATGCAAACGTTGGTAAGACATTTGAACACGACACACACACACACACACACACACACACACGCACACACACACGCACACACACACACATGTGCACACACATGATGCACACACACGGCACACCACACACACACGGCACACACACACACACACACACACACACATTAGGCACGTTGAATAGTAATCCGCACTCCGTTCACCTTCGAGCAGCACCAGTACACTGTGGATCTCACAATGTATGACCCGCATACAGTAGCACTCAGTAATATGACTTTCCCCTGCCCGACTGTAACAACAGGAGGGGGGGGGGGGGGGGGGGGCACTAAAATAATGTAAATCATGTATCATGTATGGTTTTACATCAAACTAGGCCTACCCATACACAATCCATACGTTGGGCTGTAGCCCGAGTGACCCAATATAGCCCAATATAGCCCAATATAGTCCTCCGCTCTAGTACTAGCACTTTACAGTGCTGTACAGGATAACAGCTAGTGGTGGCTACGGTGCAGTGATGTACAGGATAACAGCTAGTGGTGGCTACGGTGCAGTGATGTACAGGATAACAGCTAGTGGTGGCTACGGTGCAGTGATGTACAGGATAACAGCTACAGTCCATTCACAAAAAGATGGGCCCTGGCTCTGGCGAGCTCCCGTATTTGGCGAATTTTCAAGATTTTATCGTACACAGTGCAGTGCTGCGAAGTTTGAAATTTGAAAAAGGGTCCAAAAAGGGTACCTGAACTGGGGTTCGAACCGTACAATGCACTGTTGCAGGCAGGATCAAACGGCCTGGATTTTGATGGTCTTTCCCAATTCAGTGCTCTTGGGGCAATACCTGGCCGAAATACTATTCTTGTTACGGCTTGCTTTTTGGAGAAATAGACTTTAGAAACATAATTGGAAGAGGATTCCATAGGGGATTGCAGAAAGAAATTCTGAAAAAACTCAACGTTGACCCATTCATGGCCAAAAGCTACAAGTCCATCTTTTTCTGAATGGACTGTAGTGGTGGCTACGGTGCCTTTTCAACCACAGTAAGGAAGTTCGGCACAGGTTGACCCGTGTACCCACCAACACTAGAGTCCTGATTGCCCGTGAAGACCTTCTCCAGGTTGTTGTATACATCCGTTCTGCAGCGCACGCACAAACACAATACAAGAGAGATGTTCACTCATCCGCACATGCTGCGGGTGGCAACAACCTGCAAGCTCTGAGACCTTACACAAGTCTTCCTGCAGCTGGCACTGATTCACAGAGCCAGTACAAGTTCCCCTAAATCTTCATAGCCCCATATTCTTTTGCAACTCCTTGAAACTAAGGCATTGGCCCGGTACATGCCATTCCTGCACAATAGCTGGTGCAGTGTCTCAAGCCAGGGCTCTAGCTAGTAGCGAGTTTGAGTCGGCCAGCAGCTTCAGTCTTAGTCAGGCACATGTAGCATACACATGTTCATGACCTTTGCCAGAACAGCTAGCTATGCTGGACTGCATGATGCTAACATGATAACATGATAACATGATAACATGCTAACATGATAACATGATAAGGCCCGTAGCATGCCCTAACCTGTTGTACCAGTAGCCTCGGAATCCCTCCATGTGCACCGTCAGCGGACAGTCCGGACAGTCTTTACCTGCACACAGTGACGGCAGAGAACGGCAAAATGCAGCATACTCACTGATCATGATTACAACACACACACACACACACACACACACACTTCAGACTTCAGACATGCCCATCGCGGAAGCGATGATAGCGAACAGCTATGTTAGACATAGCAACTTGTGCTGGGATTACACCATTCAACAGCTTGCAAGGCTGATGAATTGACCGCCACTATTTTTAGCCTGGTATCCACCACACAGCTGTTTGAAGTGACTTTTTCTGGCCAGTTAATCCCTATTTTTCATTTTTCCATTTTTTTCTACACACACACCACACCACATACTCCGGCACACACACACACACACACACACACACACACACACACACACACACACACCATGTACCATGTATACGCCCGTCGCAAGAGAAGCACGCAAATCTGCAAATGCACTGGATGTGCACCCACAGATTTTCTCTTATAGCAACGATAGCGAACAAGATCTGAATGAGACAGATCAAGACTTGCGCCAGATAACTCACACACACACACACACACACACGCACACCACACACACACACACACACACACACACACACACACACACACACACACACACACACACACACACACACACACACACACACACACACACAGAAACTGCCATGCAGCTCATACATGCACAAGGAATTGGAGAAACAAGTTGGCTCCATGACTCGGTGAAGTCCTGCCTTCCCGTCATGATCACTCTAACATTCATGATCTGTACTTGACCCCCCCCCCCCCTCTCTCTCTCAAACACACACACACACATGTGTTGTGAACCATCCGTGACTACCTACATCTGCAATAGGTTATGTGCACATGTCACTGATATTCCTCTTGCACATGTCCGCACCGTCAATGCCAGTTGCACACCTAGTATCAGAGAGTCATGACATATTTTACGACTCCCTGCCTAGCATACCCATAGGTCATGGCAACACTCTGTGTCTTCCCGGATGAGAGTTCTATGACGTGCGCACAACCTGTGAGGGTGAGGGATGGCCGCTCCACTTGGTCCACTCACTCACCCCTAGACTAGTACACACAGGCTACAGAACTCACTTGGCAGGATGAAGCGTCGACCAGGTTTATAATAGCGCCACCATCGGAAGATCACCGTCAAGCTGTCCACCCTGGTCGGATGTGGGGTGTCAGAAATGCAAAAGCAAACACATCATTACTGCCGTTTCGCATCCACTTCAATTGTGATGCATAACCTAAAGGCTGCTCTAATAATTGTTTACTCAGATGGGGAGCCACGGATTGTCAAGTAAATGGTGGTGTTAGTGGACAATATAGCGTAGCTTTTAGTTCCTTGGTCCTTTTCTCGCTATAAATCTTACTGATAGTCGTTCTAATGGATGTGATCCCCCCCCCCCCCCCCTTCTGCATTATTGAAGGAATTGTATCGAAGGTGAAGAGAAATTGTCACACAGTGAAGTCAAGTCCAGATAAAATGCCCAAAGCTTCAGGACCAGACAAACGTACAAGTACGCTCACATACTCGTACATTGTAGTGCAGTCCTAAGCATTATCCGCAGCACATTGCATGCAGTCACAACCAACAGGCACAGAGGAATTGCTACAAGTGACCTCTTCACGGTGCAGCATATGCATTATGCAGAATCAACCGCCAGTACCAACGCACATCAGCCTGAGCAGTCTTACAGACTGGCCAGACTGAGAGTGAAGACAGTGCTCCTACTGAGTGGACAACTGGAGACAGAGTAGTTGCAGAGACAGCCATACACGTAAGCCGTGACATGTAACTTACGCCACCGACCCATCTGTGCCAGTGAGACGGACATCGTGCAATATGAGCTTTCCAGTTAGCAGCGATATGGTCATTGTCCCTATTTCAAAACATGCGTGCACAATCAGAACGAAATGAAATTTGATATGTGCATTGAAACTTTCGTCTCCGAAACGACTGTTCACCTACTGGTATGCATGCAGTGCGGCCGTTTATACAAAATCTGCCAAATCCATTGTATACAATAAAAATGATAAAAAGGTCGTGTGATTGCGACAAATAAGCCTGCTCAACTCATCATCACCATGATGAAGCACTTTGCCTGGCGGGCACTGCTGGGGTTTGCATGTCTACGATCCCATGCATGATTTCGGCTGCGGCCGTTGCCAGAATCTTCGGATAGAGGTTTGATAAACTTTGGAAAATAATAGGTCAGGCCCGCTGGAACCGGTCACGGTTGGTCAGGTTATCACCCGACCAACTTTTTGGCCACCAACACAGGTTTCCTACTATGGAGGGCATGACTGCGTACCCGCCATATCATACACAAAGTATGAACGGCCATGATACTACCGGACCAATCAAAAACTGCTTCCGGCAGTCCTGTAGTTAGTCTGTTCCGGGAAAGACAGGCGCACGCTCACAGACTGTCAGTGATCCTGTACCCCTGCTGCCTCTTCTTGTTCAAGTTTTATAACTTTTTTTCCCCTTTGCTGTTGCCATGCATGGCTTGCTAAGTCCCCCTCCGTCCGACTCAACGGTTGCCTTCGGAAGGTGACCAAAGATGAGAATGATACAACACGTAATGTACACTGTAGCTGCAGCATGAATAATTATTGTCTGTGCAATTGGGAACATGTTTTAAGCATTCTCAACGCTGCAGATTTGTTCCATCCACTTACCAATGTGTGCGTTAAGGCTGGGTCGCAGTTTGTTGATGACTTTGGTAGCAATGGCACCCAGAACACGTGCAAATAGCAATAAGAAAAATATCCACAGTACCAGCACTACACTCAGGACAGCCACTAGCAGTCGATCCTCTCTGCTAACGCCAGCACCACCTCCATTGCTGCTGGTCGCATCTGTGAGCTGTCCGCTAGCAGGCGTGCTGCCTGGCGGCAATACGGTCAAGCTATTCATGTTGTTTTACGGGGCCAAAGTGTAACTACTTCTTTCTCTCACTGTCCGCCACACCAGATTTCGGCTGCAGCGCGTCCCCGATGACGTGGTTTCATATCTACTGGCTGCTCAACGCATGCCCTGCTTTCATAATGCTCCAACCATCCAATAATCCATTGCTTCTCGACTCCTCTCACTTCTAAGGGGACAATTCACGCAAAGCTGCTATAGGGGCTGCGGGTGGAACTATTCAACCCGTGCACACTGATCATGCTTCGAAGTGATTTTAGCTTTTATCTTCACTACCCGTTGACGGTTGACAGTGTGATGTAGCGCTTCTTTTTCAACACCGTGCACAATTGTTACAATAATAATAATATTATTACCAATCGAAATCTCGAAACTGGAAAACAATCTGCGATCCGAAGTACGAGTACTATTGCTGGCAACTGAAATCCGACCCCTGTGCGGTCCGCTCACATCGCAAAGACCCAACACAGGATAGCAAAACTACGAAATTGTGACCGCTAGAATGTGGACGCACCGCTAAGGGGGCGGATTTCAGTTGCCAGCACTGTAGTATAACTAGTAATAATAATAATACAGAGGCAATATGCTTTGGTTCAGCCAGAGTAATACTGACATCTGTAGACCAGTGTTTGACAGTCTTGAATCTTCGTGCACGTGCACGCCTGCACGGTGCATAGCATAGCTAGCGCTAGCTAGCATGCATGTAGATCAATCAGTTCCAGCAGGGAAAACTGATTTCACAAAACGGGGTTGGATGTGGGGACTCAAAATCCCATAACGAGTAAAAGACCGAGACGAAGCCGAGGTCTTTATTCGTTATGTACTAGTATTTTCATATGCTGACCTGAGGGAAGTACAGGTTCCTGCACGAGTACGAGGGCAGTACCGCGGAATCCAGCCCGCGCCGCGATAGCGGCAAGGGCTGGATGCACAACGGTACTGGCCGAGTATGAGTGACTGGAACGTGTTTCCCGTGTGCACCCAAGCCAAATAAAGAGATACATGACAGACACACCTGCATTGTGTTTTGTGATTGTTTTCTGGTACAGTTTTTTGTAGTAGTCCATAGTGCTTTCTTTCTCGCGGTGCCATTGACATTGTCGACTGGGCATCGGGCATTCTGGCTGTTCTGTTCCTACGGATTTTTTCCCACGTCTTGATCGGAAACCTCGGCAAATTGCGCGGATCCTGCAGGTTGCTGAGCATTGCGCGCTTTGGCTGAGGCTCATCCGGCTCGTCCAAGATCTCCTTCGCGAGCGACTCCGCAATAAAAGTTTCAGTCTCTTCCTCAACTTTTCGGAGGAGCTCATTCAGATCGCCAATATGGTTCAACAAAGGGGCTTCTTTTCTCCCAGTTCCAGATCAAATGTTGGAGCGCCATGATGACAGTTGTGGTTGCAAACAGTCGCTCTTCTGCTTTAGTCATTTTATTAGTAACCAATGAAAGACCGTCCTTGAAGTAGAGAGTCAGTCCAGTGGCTACTGCCCGACGGGCAGTGGAATCCGTTCCTGCCCGTCGTCAAGTGACGACGGGCAGTGGAATCCGTTCCTGCCCGTCGTCACTTGACGACGGGCAGTGGAATCCGTTCCTGCCCGTCGTCACTTGACGACGGGCAGTAGAATCCGTTCCTGCCCGTCGTCACTTGACGACGGGCAGTGGATCCAGTTCCATTACCTTTGAAGTAACTTAGTTTGAGCAGGCAGGACCGCGCTTTCCAGCCCGCGCTGTTTGATCTGTCATTGGTCAACTCCAAGGCGACAATCACGTGACATACGGGAATGATTTATCACGACATAGCATACCTAAGCTGTTTTAGCTTTGTTTATACATAGGAAGAAAGGAATTCTATTGCAATAGTAGATAGTATGTACATGATATGCCGTTTACATTGGACATTACTTCTCTGTAAGCGGAAGTTTTCAGTTGTTACATGTACATGATTGTAGTTACAGTAGTATGTTCACCAAGTTCTTTCAGTGAATCTGACAGTTTGGGTTCAAGGTATGCGGCCGTCAATAATAAGAGAGTGATAAAATACCATACATGTAATTACCGGTATATCGATTTCGGTATTGTACTACATAGGCCCCAGCGGCAGATGCTAGCTACATGTAAATGTTGCCAAGATGCTTTTTGGGATGCTAGCTGACAACTCAGAAAGATGCTAGTTTGGATGCTAGACAACACGAATTATGCTACCTATTAATGGTAATGGTGAAACATTTGGGTTGAAAACGGTGTTCCGTGCTATTTATGAATTCTCACAAAGCAGGTATGTAAAAAGAGTTTTTAAAGGTGCGATGTTGGCATCATGTTGCTATGGAAATATTTGCAATACAAAAGAGCAAATACCAAGAAGTACCAATGGCAATGTGGGTCTTGGTCACAACTAGGTAATGCAAACAAATTGAATGTAGTGCATGCAATTATCAATGTGGTAGTACCGTAATAGTTAGTACGGTGCTTGTTGGAAGTTGTATACAGAGCTATAACTATTTACCGGTAGAAAAATGGATGGCAACATCTGTTGTAACCTCAAGTTACAGTCATGCTGAAAAAGGGCATTGAAACTGTCAGTGTTAGGACAGATCCTTGGAGGCGGATCTCTTCTAATACTAGTTTCATAGTGTAATCTAGACCGAATTCCACATCCAGTCTTCCAGAATGCCAAAATTGGCAAAAATGTATCGGATGCCGGTAAAAACTGCTGTTTATGCTAGCATCGTGTGGAGTCACAAAAAGGCCCTTTTATGCTACTTTGGGTGCTAGCATTTGCCGCTGGGGCCTAGACTACTACTACATGTACATGTACTTCCTGAGACAGGCTGAGTAGATCTACTACTAGTACTGTCGTGGACATGGAAATCCGGTCGCACGTCTAGCGGCCCCAGGGTGCTGGCCATGCAGCCGTAGCATGCACTGCATGCTGGTCGCGCGCATCGGCGGATATCGGATCAACATGTGCACTGCATGCAACGACTTACGTTCTGTACGCGCTGAGGGCGCCGGCCCCGGTCAATCGACTGGATTTCCATGTCCGCGACATTAGCTCCGAAACATGGCAGTTTTGAACCTCAGAACATGAACCACACCCCTAGCATGTCAGTTTCCCCTGTGAAGTTGCCGGCAACTACAATCTCACAGGGAGGGAAAACAGATTCAAACTTCATGCAGGCCGCATTGCTGTATTGGCATTCGCAGACTGTGGTATATAATCATGTTGACCGGCTCGTAACACCACACATGCTCTAGCAAAAAGCACCACCACAAGCGCAAAGCACAATCTCTTTACTTGGCAAACACATCACTTCCTCGTAAAACACTTTAAAAAAAGATTGTAAAATAGCAGCTGCAGCCCTGGTACTGGAAAGACGATACTCCGTCTTGTTTGGAGAGCGAAAACAATAGTCATCGTACCAAGTGGTGGTAGTAAACCATACGGTAAAGCGATATAAACACACACACGCGCACACACAGACATACATGACAATATAGTATACAATTGGGGTAAATCAGTATATAGCACACGGACAAGGGATAAAAAAACGGCTGCGGCACATGGAAAGAGAGATGAGTAACCTTGAAAATATAGTGCATCCAGGATTCACGGGCAGGAGCATAGTTTAGGTCAGAATCGGGAGTGGAAGTGGTGAGTGTACAAGATGAGCTATAGGCTACATCCTGGAATACGGCTACGCAGAACACACGGACACAATGTATTTCATGAGAAGGAGAAAAAAGGCAATTGTATGTGTATGGGGATGTGCGACGATGAGTGAGGGCCAGCCGCACTGTCGGTGCTGCATGCAAACCTTCATGAAAGAGAGAGAGAGAGAGAGAGAGAGAGAGAGAGAGAGAGAGAGAGAGAGAGAGAGAGAGAGAGAGAGAGAGAGAGACGGAATCCTGTTCTGTTCAGCTGCGTTAAAAAAAAGTGAGCTTGTAAGGGAGTAGAATGTACAGATGGACGAAGAAGGTGGATTGACTGTACACTAATTTCACAAACATACAAATTCACACAACACAAATGCACACAATGGCAAATGTGACAAAAGCTGAACAGCAAGGCGGTTTATAATTATGTAGGACGCATCACGCAGCTTCATAGAAAGGAGGATCTATAGACATGGAAGGACAGCTGCAGCAGCACGAGTATTGAAATGCGGAGAAAGCCGGGCAGAAAGAGTAAAATTCATGACCATGGGAGTGGTAGCTGTACAGTACACTATCTTACAATGGCCTCTATTTTAGCAGCCGGCTGTAGAGCATGGAGAGATGAGACGAGCAAGGCACAGTTCAGTGGTCAGCCGTTGCACTCGCACCTCCGGTCAGTCGCTGCAAGGCAAGCAGCACAGCGGGCCAGTGCACAACAAGGCAGCCACCGCCGCTTGCACTGTGCAAGTGGCGAGTGCGAGGAGACGGCGGTGGCGGCGGCAAGGTGGTAGTTGCTGTGCTGCTGCTGCCACTGCTACAGCTGCCAGCGCTGCCACCGCTGCTCACATGAGATGCAGGACTCTGCGGTGATTGCATAGCGGCGGAAGCTGCAACAGAGTCGCTGATTGACTGGGGTGAGAGAACAATATCGGCCGCCACCATATCCGGGTCGATGGTTGGATGACCAGGAGCAAACGGTTCGCTATTTACAACCACAGCTGGCAGGGGAGCACCGTCACCGTCCTTCGCAGCAGCATTTGCGCCGGCTGGGGATTTGGTGGGAACATTCTCCACTCCAGACCGGGATTCATTGTGACCATTGTTGTCCGTATCGGGTGAGGAAGTGTCAGCGTCGCACCCATTGTCACCATTGTCGTGTTCACTGCTACCATTGCCAGAACTGCATACCGGTGCAGCAGCAGCAGCAGCAGCAGTAACACCATCAGGGCTATCACTGACACTATTGCCACGAAAGTAAGGTCGCTTGGCAGGACTGATGTCATCAGTCGTGTCTATCAACGGCTGTTTCCGCTTCTTGCTTGCCTGGGTCGGGGAAGTTTCGCATTCACATGCCTCCATTTCAATCTCTGCAGACACGCCGGGTGCTTCTAAATTAATCGAGTTGCACGCGGTACGCAGACTTTTCAGCTTGTTCAGTAGAGCATCAGAAAGACCACTATCCTCGTTATAGACTATGATGTCCAGAGCAAGGAGATCCTGAGAGAGGTAAGAACAACAATTAACACAGACAGATACTTAGTAGACAGATGCATGCATGCATGCATGCATGAATGCATGGATTGATGGATGGATGGATGTATGCATGAACAGAAGGAGAGGGGATGGGGAGGGGGGGGGGAGAGAGAGAGAGAGAGAGAGAGAGAGAGAGAGAGAGAGAGAGAGAGAGAGAGAGAGAGAGAGAGAGAGAGAGAGAGAGAGGGAGATGGTGCAGTTGATACTACATGAACAGCGCTGCTCAATGAGATCCGATCGCGCAAGTCTAGCGTGCGCCAGAGCTATGCAGACCGGCTATGCAGACCAAGGCCCGTGAACATTGAGCCGTGAACTGGTGCAGGGTGCAAACTGGACTCACACAATCTGATTTTATTGAGCAGCACAATGTTCCAGCAGAATCGGTCACCATGCACACTCATGTCAAGGCAAAGGAAAGTACACAAAGAGAAGCGTCCGCCAAGAAGGCAATCGCCACGCAAAGTGGTCATCGGCTATCCCAGCCATGTAAATAAATGAAAAAATAAAAAATAAAGGTGAAGAACCTTACCCCAGCATACTGATAGACAGGAGCATCCACCTGAGCCGATGTGGCGTTAGCAAACGTTTCCAAAACATGTGCATTGGCAAGAACAGAGTCTTGCAGAGACTCAATGATCGATGCCGGATCTTCACTGCGCCAAATCTAATACAGTGTCCACACCAAGCAATGTACAGTAGGCACGAGTATTCAAGGCGATTGCTGAGTGACTGCACCCTCAATATAGTAAGAAGAAATTCCTGTTCAAGATAGTTGGCAGGTCTTATAGTAGCATCCTGTTGGAAATTGAAGTGCCAGTGCTTGAAAAGTGAAAGCTAGGACTTGCCAACAAGACCAGCCGAACAAGAAAACGGACAGGATCCGACCATCAAACAGGTAGCAGATGGCGGGGGCAGCTAACACACATCTTCCGGGGACCTAACCCCCCCCCCCCCCCCCCACACACACACGCTCTCTCTCCCCTTAAACAAGTCAAGTGTATGTTGAACCATGTGAGAAGTAGTTTTGAGCTATCTTGCAGCTTCACCCGTAGAGAATAGTTGGGTGGACACACCCATTCCCAAAGCACTCCAAACCGAACCAATGCTTTTATGTACAAATTTTCGGCAAAATTGCCATCGTCAGATACGAAATGAAACAATGCTGCCATGCAGGCCAAAAAAGCAGTTTTATGCCAAAGTCCTACCGCCAAAACAGCAAAAAACCCGCGAGATTATGCTGTTTTGGCGGTAGGACTTTGGCATAAAACTGCTCCTTTTTGGCCTGCATGGCATCATTGTTTAAATTCGTACCTGACAATGGCAATTTTGCCGAAACGTTGTACGTAAAAGAATCGGTTCGGTTTGCAGCGCTTTGGGAATGGGTGTGTCCACCCCACTACTCTCTATGTTGAACCATGCTCATAAAATCACACACGATTCCTGAAGATGGACTTTGCCCGAAAATTATAAGATTATATTTTACATTATTCAAACTGCTATTGATAGGAAACACAACCAGTCC